AAATGAAACAAAATGTTAAAAAGGTGATGAATTTTATAGTCGAGGAACTGAAGCAAATCCTTAAACGAGATGTTAATAAGCGTATGATTGAAATGACAGCTTTTAAAAATTTTGAGGTTTGGTGGGACGAACAAACAGCAAAAGCACGTTCAAAACATTTGTCTTCCGTAGTCGATACCGCTACAACTAGTAATAACTTAGTAGAAAAACAAATAACTCAGGAGAAGCCACCCGACATTAATAATTTAATCAACACGCAAAGAGAAATGTCAGATTTTCAATCATTCACCAGTATAGGTATAAGGGCTGCAATGCCTAAATTGCCATCATTTCGGCGTGTTCCCAAACACCCAAGCCCCATTCCCGATAAGTTGGAACGGGATCTCAGTGATCAAGAAGAAATGGTACAGCGGTCTGATTCAGACAAAGATGATTCAAATATGGGCAGTTCCGATGCTCAAAATCTTAATTTAAAAAGACGCACACTGCAAAGGGATAGTGGGAAGTTGAGAATAACGTCAACCAATATACGATTAAAAAGAAAAGGAAGTGCGTCAAGTTTCTTTTCGTCATCCACATCGTCGTCCTCCAATAGCGACGGTGAAAATGATGCTGAAGATATCGCCAATAGAGCTGAGAACGAAAGGAGCAGCGACGACGAAAGCTTTGATGAAGACATCCCATCAAGCAATTCAAATGAAAGGGATAAATTCCCTAAGAGGCGTAGGCATAATTTGAAAGCTTCAGATGGCAAAATACTAAACGTGTATTCAGACTCTGAGGAAGAAAATCAGTCAATAAATCGAATATCAGCAACCAAGCGGAGTCGCACGAAAAAAATTGACATATACTCTGATACTGATGAAGACGATGACCAAAAGACAGGGACAAAACGATTTACTAATTCAAAACCCAATCTCGTATCATCTATACCGTCTGATCTTGAAGACATAAGCAAAGATAGTTGTTTTGGTATGGAAGATGTTGGCATTGCTGCTAAATTTGTATCCGAATTAAAGACTGATGAACAACTTGAATCTGAATCCCGCCGATCACCAACACCTGTTCCGCCACCGGATTACAACGAGGAAACTATTTCGAAATCCGATGGGGTAACTCCAGTAAAATCGCATTTTGAATACGATCGTATTTATAGTGATTCTGATGAAGAGCGCGAGTATCAGGAGAAGAGACGTCGAAATACTGAATACATGGCTCAAATCGAGCGCGAATTTTTAGAAGAACAGCAGAAGAATTCACATCAACCAGACAATACATCAAACATGGATCTCAAGTTAGAGATTAATCAAATATCAACTTATGAAATGCCTGAAACACCCGATATTTCAAAACTTCCTCCGACACCAGGTGCAAAATTATTAGTGCAAGACTTAACACTGTACAAGAAAGATATCCCAGATACTGACGCTGACTGCAAACCGTATTTGATCACAGTAAATACTGAAGCTGTTCCAAAAACTACTAGTATTCAGACGAATGAGAATGAAGGTATAATTGTTTTAAAAACTGAAAGCAATTTAAAAACGGAAGGTTATGACCCAGCTCAATCTAGCAGTCAACCAAATGAAAATACCCGAATATATAACGGAAAGCAATCACCTGTATCTTCAGATAGTGGATCAAGTCAAGCATCTCAAGCTAGTCAAGTGGCCTTAGAACATTGTTATTCTTTGCCACCACAAGCACAAGGTGCCTTTTCTACCGGTGTTTCCACAAACCAATTTGAATGCAAAAATAAGAAAGAAGCCGATGGCATGCATATTGTAAGGCCTGGTCCTGGAAGGCCACGCAAAGATTCTGTGCGTGCACAAAAGAAAAAAAAAGATTTTTCAGGACGACAGGCGAATAAGAAAAATAAAATAGAATCAATGAAAGACACGCTTTCCGAACTCGTCCGACAAACCGCTAACTTTGTTCCGTGTGAAATGTTTAAAACCCGTGATCAAAACGAAGAAATGGTAATTTTATACACATTCCTAACAAAAGGCATCGATTTGGAGGACATTAAGTACATCAAGACGAGCTATACTGAGCATTTGCAAAAGGAACCATATGCGTGAGTAGACTTTTTCTGTTCTAAAATGTAAGATTTATTTCAACTTTTTTTTCAAATTTCAGTATGTTTTTGAACAATACTCACTGGGTCAATCACTGCACCACGGACAGGGCATTTTGGCCGCCTCCTCCCAAGAAACGGCGAAAAGACGAAGAACTAATGCGTCACAAAACCGGTTCCGCGCGTACTGAGGGCTTCTACAAGTTAGATGTACGGGAAAAAGCCAAACACAAATACCACCATGCTAAAGCAAACATACATGACACTCAAGATGAAGATCGGTGCGATGAGCCAACGGTGCTGACGAACCATCATCACAATAAGTTAATATCCAAAATGCAGGGAATATCTCGCGAAGCGCGTTCGAATCAACGACGTCTATTAACTGCCTTCGGTTCAATGGGAGAGTCCGAGCTTTTAAAATTCAATCAACTGAAATTTCGAAAAAAACAGCTCAAATTTGCAAAGTCGGCAATCCATGATTGGGGGTTATTTGCCATGGAACCTATAGCGGCTGATGAAATGGTTATTGAATACGTTGGGCAAATGATTCGACCAGTTGTTGCCGATTTAAGAGAAACCAAATATGAAGCAATTGGCATTGGAAGCTCATATTTATTCCGAATTGATATGGAAACTATAATCGATGCAACAAAATGTGGTAATTTGGCGAGATTTATAAATCACAGCTGTAATGTAAGTATGAGATAGGTACGGCAATTAAATCACTTCTTAATTTCCTCTTTTGATTGCAGCCAAACTGTTATGCCAAAGTCATTACCATAGAGTCAGAAAAAAAAATTGTTATATATTCAAAGCAACCCATTGGAATTAATGAAGAAATAACTTATGACTACAAATTTCCTTTAGAGGAAGAAAAAATCCCTTGCCTTTGTGGAGCACAAGGCTGTAGGGGTACGCTTAACTAAAGCAGAGAAACTTTGGCTTTACTGAAGATAAATGTTAATTATTGATTTCAGTTTAAGTAACTATTACTGAGTTTAGAAGTACATATTATTATTTTATAAATTCTGTTACATTTAAATAGAACATTTTTTGTATCTTAAGTAATTTAAAAGTAAAAATGCAACTGAAAGATTTTATTTTGTAAGATTATCGTTCGTAATGTTTTGGTTAATAAAGGCTATATTTTACACTAAGTATTTTTCAAAAAAAAAAAAAAAAACTAATGCCTGTTTTTTTATACATTGCACTTTGCAAATATCGTATCAAGGATATGCAAAAACATTTTTCCGTACCGATTTTGCAATTCAAGATGTCATTTTGATCAAGTTTTGAAATGATTAGAATTCAGAAACTACTAAATATTTATTTTTATATTTATCGTTGTGGTTTGTAAATAAATATAAGTCTACTAATTAATTAATACATGAAGTGTAAAGTATTAGAATGTGAATAATCAAATGTATAAAGTTTAATATCACAACAGCCTGTAAGGTCTTTTCTTGTATGCATCAAAAATGTTCATGGAAATTTAGATCTGAATTCAAATTTTGTAAAACCTGTTCTCATTAAAATAGGTATTAAGGACACAAAGAAAGCAAACATCTAGTGTACAGCGACATGCGCACAATCATTTAAAATTTGATTTCAGTATATTTTGTAATATCCGTCCGGCAACTTGGAATATATATAAAAGTATTAATATTATAACTAGAGAAGCAACATTTTTGTGTTCCATTAGAGGCCCCAGACATAATTTGTAAGTATTTGTCTATGGTAGCCATTGATCTTACATTTTTGTTTCAGTTAAAGTGAGTGAGTTAAAGTGAGTCAATATCAGGACTCAGAAAACCTGCTGGTTCGCGAATTTAATACCTTCGCAATCAAGTTTTTATCCTTGCCATAGTCCAATAGTAAAGTGGAGAAATTGTTTAGTCAAGTGAATATTGAATTGTTTTTAATTAAATAATTTAATTAAGCTTAATATAACATTTATGTTTATTTTTTTTATATTATCTTAATGCCCCTTAACTATTACTGAAAATGCGAAAAACGAAAACACGACTAAATTTAAAGCTTTTTGTTAAAATTTTTTTGGAAAAAATTTGGCTGCTTTTCGCTTATTTTTTTTTTTTTAAAGATCTCGTTGCTAGATGGTTGTAAGCTTTCTTTCACTATGAAAAACTTTTGAAAAAACATATCTTACTAATTAAGCGGTAATATAATTAAACAATGTAATTTTTTTATTTTTAAATGATGTATCTCTGTATGTAAAAGTGTTTGTCCTGACTGACTGATTGGTGATCAAGCCCAAGCTGCACGAGCTAGGAAACTAAAAGTATGGAAAAATCAAGAAAATCCTTTTTTCAGGTTGAAATCTGCCATAAAGCATTGCGACGATTGGCCATCCAGAGTTTGGCGAAGGCTGCTAATGTTACATTAGCTTTGTCCAGATCGAAAGGGATATTAAGCGGTATATTTGAGACACATATTCAAATACTGCTAGAGCCGCCGACCACAAGCACGGCCAACTGGTCCATGGTGCAGTCATCATTACTTAGCCGTAAGTACTATGACCTGAAAATCACATTGGGAGTTGCCATGTGAAGCATTTGTGATTTGGTTCGCAATCCTGATATATTCTGATAATAAAGTAATGTCGTGTGAGCCTAGAACACCAAGTAATCCAAGCGAGGAACGTGGCCACCGCAAGATGAGGAATAATCTTAAAGACTTGGGTTACTTATACAAATAATCAATAAGCTATCCATACAATAATGGACTTTTCGACCGATCGTTCTTATGGCAGCTATATGATATAGATGTCCAATATTGTTAGGGTTTTGCATACACATATGTATAAAAATAAGATTAGCTTGTATATTCCACACATATTTAGGTCAACCGACTATTTACATGCTTCACAAATTGTGGGTATCAAATTTAAAGAGTATTTGAATTTAAACATATAATGAAGAGCAATAAAATTGGTCTTTGATTTGGAATCCAAAAATATCAACCGTTTAAAATAAATATATCTTTCTTGAGCACAGTCTAATTAGTACCAGGATATTTAACGCGTTCCATCGTAGAATAAACAATCAGTACAAGCGATATTCATGCAAGCGGTTTATTGTGAACTTGTTTTTAATGTTATTTGCATGTCCAATTGTGCTTGAGCAATGTCCCCCAAAGCAGACTGGATTTTTTCCAGCAAAAGTTCTCCTTTCTGAACAACTTGTTCAAGTTGCTCTGCAGTTTCTTGGTTTTCAAACTCTAGTCGCTTAAGACTACAATTTTGTAATTCAATTGAACTGTCTTCATTAGGCAAAGACTCAATTAAAGTATCAATGTCTTTAGCACATCGAGCTATTAATTGTGCAAAAAGTTGAGCATAATCCTCCTGAGGTGGGTTTTGTATGGGTGTCTGTGAGCCTGTCCTGTCAAAATTTGCAAACTTGCTGGGATAAGATGTCTGCTGAATGACTCCAATAGCATTGCAGAAGTGCTCTGCTTGCTAAAAACAATCATAATTTTATTAGCTATACAGAAATGAATGTTACTAAATAGGCGCATACTTGGTTTACGGTATCCTGCAGTTGCGTTAGCCTGTCTGCCATAACTAAATAATATTTCTTAATCCTTATAAACTTTCTTTAATTTCTACTATGAAGACAATAAGGCATAGGTAGTTTGGAGATGGTAGTTACTCTTGTTGTTCAATGAAATCGATAATTTCGAAATTTTTTCTCGATACGTTCTGAAATGCCTATTCGACATGTATACTATCGAATGCAATATATATTATTAATATAATAATTCTTCGTTTTAGCCACTACACATAAGCAACATCCAACATATTTAAATGTAATTTTTTCTCAGGATTTTCATTTGCTTAAATATAGGCATTGAAACATTGCCGATAACGCACCGATTTTCGAGCGCCATGCAGCAAGAACACTACTATACGATGAATAGTCGATGGCTTTGAGCTATCGTCATCGGTTCGAGATGAGCGAATGACAGTTGCTAACTATCGAGGACAAGTCATTATAAATATCGAATTTTGATTTGGCGGAGGCTTTGAGTATTTCAAATGTAAACCGTTTGCACTTGCAATGTTTTGTATCCCATATTAAACAATAAAAATTTTAAATGAAGCTTGAATATTTTGTAATTCAATTTAAAAATTTTATTAAATAACCCAGGGCTAGGGTTTTTTATGCTGGTTTTTACATCGTTTTTTTTTCACTTACATCCCACAGTAAAAACTAATTATTTTCAATAATATTTTTCATTTATTTGTAGAACTAAAAAAGAACAAGAACACAACTACTTTAACAATTTCGGCTAAGAGTAAATACATTTGTACAAGACTTCAGGCAATAGCAACAGTCTAATAACCAACTCGGCCTTCGGAGATAAGTCCCATCATTCCCATTTGCAAGACATCGGGCATCAAAGAACCGCATCTAATATCCGTTTACAAAAGTTTTGTCGCTCGAATCACAACTAAAATAAATATTGAAATAAATATAAATAGTATTAATAGTATTCTACGAATAAGTTAACGGAAAGGGCTCTCCAACATTAATTATTTTGTATTAAAGGAAATAACTTACCGATAATTCTTCGTGGAGCGATCTGCAGAGGAGGTTGGGCAAAACTTTCATTCATGTGCCTTACCAGCTGAAGGGTCTGAACACTAATAATGACCACAATTTCTGCAAAGTGTAAAAGAGATTATTCGAGAGGTTTAAGGGCATTGTGAAAACTTACTCACACTTTCTGACTTCAATCTGGAATTTTTGAAGGAGATAAATGTCGCTAAAAAGATTCAATGTACTCGCTGTCGCTTTGGGTCGACAACTGAACTGAAGTATTTGAGTTTCAGGCGAGTATTTCTTGCTAACTACTCCCGTCTTAGAATTATTACCGTCCTCGGCTATCTATCGACGATGAAGACCCTGTGCTAAAAAGATGACGCGATGTGTGCCGTTGGTTGTTATCTCGCTCGTTAGTGCTGAATCTCACTGGGCATTCATTGATGATCATGGATCCATTAGTTATGTATCATGGCTTTTTTTTATTCTTTAAATATTGGTTTAACTGTACCGGTGAGCCAATCCTCGGTGTTGTCTAAGTTGTTAAGTTGATTGTTGGCAATGTAGATTTCTCTTTTCTGTTAGGGCGTCTTCAATTCCCTGTTCCTTCTAGACCTACCAGGAATTATGGCCTCTACCTACGTGCACAAAAGATTACGCTATGCACAATTATTTTCGGGAACTCACTGACCAAGAGAGGCATAGCTTGCCGGACAGGCTGTAAATTTTTCCCCACCTGTACGGTAATTTCCCATTACTGTCTCTTTATCCTAACTATTTAATCTAGTACAAATTTCTTAACTTTATTTAATTTTTACTTAAGAAAACTTTTTTCTCTGCTAACACCCTTCTTCTTAGGCATAGGCTCTTAGATTTTTAGATTTTCTTGAATGGCAATCGTAGCATTTACGAGCTTCAGTAAACTCATATATTTACAAGGGTATTATAGCTTCGGCATGTCCAATCTTGTCTTTCTCGCTATAAATGTAAAAGTAATGCCAAAAGTTTTAAGAACCAAATGAGCCAGTTCATTCGAAAATACCGTTATTACACAAGTTTCTGGCACTTCTGGTATTATGTGCTGTGCATTTGAATTACATAAGATTTAGTGGACACGCCGCACTAGCTATGTCATTTTAAGCGAAACTTACTGCCAAATGTGTCAGAAACGAATGTAAAGTGTTACTTAAGCTTACCACTTCTGGAAACGGAAAAACAGGGTATAAACATAGAGTTATGATTCCTTGGGATCTGAACCATGACCACTCTCAACATACTCCGCACAATGCGCCTTACAACTTGCATAGGTGAAGATCAAGACAACATAAAACATAAACCCGTTTCTTTGAGCATATTCAGTCAACCAACGCTCTTCAGTCGTTAAAAATTTCTCCAAACCAGTTAGGCAACTCAAAGAGCCGAAAATGTGACTGAAATCCGCATGCTTGGCCTCGAGCTTAATCAGTATTGGTTTAAAGCTGGTGAGCGATACACGAAATTCGTTTGTACACGAAGTGATAACTTTGCGTCTGCTTTGTATGCGACAAAGAAGTGAAAGGCCCATTTTTGTTTACAGTCACAATTTTGTGATCTACATTGACGTATAGAATTGCGGCGAAACACTCAAGTGACATCGTATCAAATTTTATACCACAACTTGCTATGAAATTTGGTAACCAAAACATTTGCTTGCCAATTAGCTACTATAGAGGTACCCCACATGTGAGTTGCTTGTTTATGTATATATCTATGTATATATCTATATCTATGTACATATGCATGAATCTATATGTTTGTGCTTATATACATGTGACCGAATGCTAACACATTATTGTGTAGAGCTGTGCATGAAAACATATAAAAAAGTTTTATGTAATCTGTATAGGTGAAAGTTAGACAATGAAAGCAAATAAAATGATATGTGCGTGCATCTGTCTACATACATAAATAAGGTGGTAATTATATTATTTTATTCATATACATATTTTACTAATATAAAATGATCTCTGTATTCTGCATGTACATTGAATATTTATTTTCATTGTAAATTTCAAATTTCATTAAATAATACAAAATTTACAAGGCACAAACTTTGACAGCCACCCATTAAAAAGAATTTTACTTTTTTTACTGTATATTCAGGAAGAGCATTATCGCCTTTTAAGACTGGTTCTTAGCCTGTCGAAAACATATATATCTATATATATTTTTATTTTAAACCAGTTCTTTTGTACACAATATGAGAAGAGAGATAAAAATAAAAATTTATGACGATCGACTAACTAATAAACAAAAATCCAACTGAGAGGTTGATACATACTAAAATAAAATATAAAAGTATATGCATTTTATGGAAATATCGTTTTGTACCTTTTATTCATTTAAGAGAAATCTATTATTATTATCGTGTGATCCCACGCACAGCCCAAACCATGGAGCTACGTAGCAAATCATTGACTGATGCTCTCTTTTGGGTTGATAGGCATAAGTAAGACGGGGGTTGGGAAAGTTGGACTAGTAAATGGCGGTCAGAGTTTGGCGTCATAAATTCGACAATTGTTATATTTACTTGTTTACATGCTTATTATTCCCAAAGGAAAACTGTAAACATTTTAATTTACTAAAAGAACTTTTTTGGCGGGGCTCAATCAAAGCGTAGCTTAGTTGGATTAGGGTCGTAACATTGGCACTTGCGAATAAATGAGTAAGAAATCGTTTTCTCATTAAATATATGATTTATATTTAATTTATAGTAAAATGGAAGTGTTTCGAAGCTAGCGTTTACTTAGTTTGTTGAGTGGATTGTAAGAGGGACAATGGGCTGTCAATGTGCCAGGACTCCTCCATGTGGATAGCCTAAGAAAGTACTCATGGTAGTTTTTTGGGCTTCTAATTTTGTTTATAATCGATTGAAAATATCCAATTATTAATAGGAATAATTAAAACAATATGATTTTGAAGATTATTAATTTAACCCCGGTGGCGTCGGGTTGCTTTTTCTTGGCGTGGTTATATTGTGGTTAATTTTTAGTTCGTCGCGCGGGAGGATGGGTCGATGGAACGCGTGATTCCATCTATGCGTGGTGAAAGTTTTACCGTCCCAACCAAAACGCAATCGGAGAACGGTGCGTCGGAAGATGTTTTGTTGTACAAAAATGTTTTAGAATTTAAGCTGCTCATCTGGCTTAAGCTATTTAAATTAATTTTCAAGTTTATTTTTCAGGGCATGTCATGGCGAGATCCTGGGTTTCGGAAGAGCCAAATCAAGTCCAATTCACGAACATTTCTTATTTTGTGCCTAGTTATCTTCTGTTTAATTCATTACGGCGATGCGCACGGAAGACTTATCGAACCCCCAAGTAGGGCATCGGCTTGGCGTTATGGATTTCAAACGCCACCAGACTACAATGATCATGAACTCTATTGCGGTGGTTTCACTCGACAGTGGAAGCATAATGGAGGAAAATGTGGGGAGTGTGGTGATGCCTGGGATTTGCCTGAGCCACGCCCACATGAACATGGAGGCCAATGGGGACAGGGTGTTGTTGTTCGAAGCTATTTGCCGAGCTCCGAAATCATAATTCGTGTGGAGCTGACCGCAAGTCATATGGGGTAAGAAAACAAATTGGTAAACGAATAAGAAGGCCCATTGGCTAAACGATTTTCTTCACAGGTACTTTGAGTTTAGGTTATGCCCAAAGCCAAGTGCTAAGCAGTCTTGCCTTGATCAAAATGTGTTGCATATAATAAGCGGTTCGCCCTCGCAGCGTAGCCCAACAGACTTGGACAGCAGATTCTATCCGCGTAATGGTAGTCGCATTTATGAAATCAAAGCGCAATTGCCTGGTAAATTTTTCGTATATTTGTTTTTTTTTTTTTTGTAAGCACTATATCCGTATTTATTTGTTTCTATTTTTGCAGACATGCTATGCAATCAATGCGTGCTGCAGTGGCGCTATATAGCCGGAAATAATTGGGGCATGTGTGACGATGGAAATGGTGCAGTTGGCTGTGGCCCTCAGGAGGAGTTTCGGTCATGTTCGGATATTGCATTAACAAAAGATGCGCGACTGCCGAATCGTCCTGTTCGCCCTATACACCGCATTACTACACCTTCCACAATTCCTAAGAATGATCAAGTCGAAGTGAATAAGAAACAGTTCACTTCGTTAATACTCTTGATCGGATTTATTTTATTACTGCTGATAGCTGGCTTAGTAATTAGTAGTGTGTACATACTCCTTAAGCCAGCTAAGCTAATTGAATGGAGGGATTTATTTCTAAGAAAATTCTGTCAGAAGCAAAAACAAACACATTTAGTTAACCTATCACAGAGCAAGCCAGCTATGTCTATTGGGACTATTGAAAAGTGCGATGACAATAGCAATACCAGTCAATTGCCCAGTCTGCTGAATACAGCGCCGATTCCACCACCTAGAACAAAACGCGATATGCGTATTAAGGAAATATCCATAGTATCCTAAGAATTGTTCCTCTCTGTCAATTGGTATGGGTTGAAATGATTGCTCCCTGAACCCAGCCCATTAGTATTCTTTGCATTTCTTAACTATATTATTATAAACACAAAACTGATTATTTTAATTTAATTTTTATCAATGATGTAGGCGCATATAACTAGTATGGCATACAATTTAGATTAACTAAAGTGTTCACAGTCGACTGCGTTGTTTTAACATATAGATATTTTAAGATAAATAATTTTTGTGATACCGTTTCCAATATTCAAAAATAAGTTTTTGTTTAGTAAATAGTAAATTTTGAATACTAACTTAATGAAGTCTGATGGGCAACATTATAAAAAGTTCATGTTGCCAATTTTGCTTAGAATTGGCGCATGATATAAATTTACTACTTATTTGCAAAATGTGTACTGATTTATTTATTTTCGACACCATAAAAACAATTCTGACAATACATATGAATATATAATGCTATTTTTCTGCTGATTGTCGACTAATAAATTATTGAATTTTTCACCTAATCATACCATAACGAAATTTCGAACTATCTGTTAATTTTACGATTTTTTCCGATGTAAACTTTATAAATTAAAAAATGAAATAATTTTAAGAAAGTTTTGGAAACATTTAGAAAAAATACTTTTTTGTCCAGGTACTTTTTTTGCTTTGTAACCAAAGGAGAAAAAATAGAATTGCTCTGTGGCTGCGATTAGCATTATTTTTAAGCCAAAAATAGATGCCCGCATACATTAGGAAATTATGGAATATGAAGATCTTTCAACATTAAGATTTTGGAAGGTTTTCTACAAAAGAAAAGAAATAAGATTCGCATACAATTCTAGCATTTTTTCTGCCAAGACAGTATTTTTCTTTCTTGCGGTGAACTAATTTTTCTTAGTTTTTGGCGTTTTTAAAGGTGACTTCACTGGAGTAAATCTTAACCGAGATTAACAATCGCAACGCTTGTAAAATTTCGAGTAATAAATAGCTTACAATTGTTCTGAACTATGGCTTAAAAGGTATCACTTTTTTTTTTGACATCTTTTTATTACAAAATTTAGATTTTTAAAATTAGGAACAACCAATATTTCATAAAAATACATTTAATATAAGTCGACAAAATTGTACACTTTCAAGCTAAAGATTTGACTTTGCCGTGATCAATACGACCATATTTACAGTCTGCGAATTCACGGGCTTTGCTTGAGCTGCATATAATTTGTAAGCTTGAGATTGGCAAATCGCGCTGCAACTTATCCCAACTATAGCTCCCTTAAATTAATCAAAATGCCATATATTACTATTATAATAGAGTGTTAAAAAGTAAAAGTAACAGATGGCATTTTGTTGGGTTTAGGGGAACTACATCACTGCTAGCAATGGAACTACTTTCATCAATTTATTTCCCATTTCTTGTAACAATAATAACACCCTGTGTAAGAGTATAATGTACGAAATGACTAGTTCATAGTTTCTTTCATTAGTCAAGTGTCAGTATTGGTTCTCAGCAGACGTGTGTTCTGTGCGAGTCGACGTAGAACGTGTGCATTTATATCTGCACAGACATACATATGTATATAGAAAAACTATTTATATCTAACGAATTGTAAAAAAAAAAAACAACCAACAAATTTTGAAACAATTTTATTTCAATGGCGTCGGCATATGAAAAACCATCTGTTCCCATGAGCGGAATTGTGCAAACTGCTGAACAGCTCGAAAATTCGGATACAGATCAAGATAATATTCCATATCATGCTCGTGAGAATGCACTTCCATTCACATATGGTAACGTCCCAGAAGGTTTTGATACAAGCGTGTTAAACCATGTTGACGGCAATGTGTGCATCGATGCACTGGAAACAAAAATGGTTGAGAACAAAAATCCCGAGGCCCGTTCGTATACAATTCGAAAAACCGTTCGACCCAGCATTTCTGCATCGTGTCCATTGCTACGAAAGACACCCTCCCGGCAAGAGTTCGAGCATATGCTGATGGAACGTAAAGGGCATGCGGTACACTCAGGCAGAGACCTTTCGATAAAGTTAGCACACGATGAAACAATTCAGAAAGATTTGGAGGAGCTTCAAAAAAGGTTAAACAAGCCCCATCTTGAGATCAAAGAATTGAAAGAATCACAGGTTGGGTCCATGGAGCTATCTGATGCTGAATCATGTTCTACAAGCCAACAAATGAATCCACAATCACAATTGGTCGAAAATAAACGTTCGAAGACGCCCACCTTTCCACTTGATCAAAGACCATTCAACTCTGAGCGCTGTGTCAGTCCATATCCAACACCCAATATACCGAGTACTCCAATGGCTAACGAGAATTCTGCATCAGAGCAAGACAATCGGAATCTTCGGCATGTCTATGGTATCGGCCTCACCAAAGAAGTTGAGCCGCGTTTAGTTAAATTTGCAAAAGACTCCTCACAGTTTTGGTATAAGCCCAACATGAGTCGAGAAGAAGCGGTTGATTTATTACGCGATGCAATACCCGGAACATTTCTTATTCGCAACTCAACTACCTACCGAAATGCATTTGGCCTGGTCTTACGGGTGGCTAAGCCACCGTCCGGCATGGTGACAGGACCAGAATATGGAGATCAACTGGTCCGTCATTTTCTAATAGAGCCTACAACCCGTGGTGTTCGCCTGATGGGATGTACCAATGAACCTATATTTACGTCTTTGTCTGCCTTTGTATATGAGCATTCGATTAACCAAATGTCCTTAGCTTGCACTCTCAAAATACCAGATAGGGATCTGCTGCTTATCTCAAATAACGAAGAACTCATCTTAAAACAAAAACAAATGCTTGCACAGGGTGCCGCGTGCAATGTACTCTACTTGTTTCAGTGCGATATGGAATCCTTAACCGGTGACGATGCAGTTCGAAAGGCGGTGCTTGAAATGAACTCAGAGCCTACGCGTGTAGTTCCCTTAGAGGTTCACTTTAAGGTATCAGAACAGGGAATTACCTTAACTGACAACACACGTACAAAGTTTTTCCGACGGCACTATCCATCGAAGAATATCTCGCACCTGTGTATGGATCCTAGTAATCACTTTTGGAGTATTCCAGCAGCTAACAAAGGATTGGAGCAGTCAATCAATAAATCAATATTTGCGTTTATAGCACGACCCTTGACCGGCTCGAGAGACAACCAATGTCACATATTTTGTGATATATCCCCCATGCAGCCAGCTTCCGCAATAGTTTCATTTGCCCACAAAGTTCTACCACTTGACAATTCAAATTGTAAAATGCTTTGAATTCTAATAATCTGTATTCGGTTGCGTTCAGATATCTTGATTTAAGATCAGCATCAACAGCCGAGCCAATCAAGCTATTCGTCTGTTAATTTGCCCAAAGGCGAGTATCTATAGAAAGGCTCGAGATATTTTTATCAATTCAAATAAAGTTATAGCAAGAGAACAAATTAATGTTATTCAATTAAATATATAAATACTAGCCAATATTTTCCGAGCTTGCCTCGCCAAAAATTGTTATTTTCAACCTCAATCGCTGAAACAAGTATCCATTAAGTTTTCTTGTATAGATTTTAAAATAAATTTAAAACCGATCGAACTGTACTTAACACATTGCCCATACACACTTTGACCTTTGACCTATCCAGGCAGGATGGAATATCCGAAAAGAGTGAATTGACTTAAAAAGCTTTTGAAATGGCCTGAAACTTTATCCATTCAAGCATTCAACACATATGGCCCACATCTAATACAGGTGGATTTTGCGAAAAGTTGTTAAAAAAGTATTTTTGTATAAACGTTTTCATTAAATTCTTATGTAAGGCTTTGTAAATATTCTTGAATCCCAGAATTTATTTTACCGAATTCCGCAAACCGAAAACCGCAAACCCTTCCTTCTCTTTGTATGTCAGGTATTCCCTCAGTTCCCTCAGCTGAAGGCTCTTGCCAGTTAGACAGAAAACTTATATTTTTCAATTTGTTTATAATGCTGCTACTTTACATCCCAATTACCAATTTAATATGCAACAACAAGAAAGCAAGAAAGGTGAAAGAAAGCTTTTGGTTTTGCTCTAGTCTGGCACTTCTGACAAGTTTAAGCCATTATTGCATTTCTGTTTTTATTTTTTAAGAGATCATGCAATAAAATAAACAGACATTTGTACTGCCATTTAATGCCCCTGATGAATATTTATTTTAGTTTTCCAAAAAACAAATGTTTTTTTCAGTTTTCCTGTTACCATAATAATACTTAACTTACTCACTAAACTCTGCCGAAGAACCTGTTATTCCTGATATTAATTTCTTAGTAAATTTACGTAACTCCAAGGGATCCTCGTTGTTAAAATCATCCATTACCGATTGCATTTGTTCCTTAAGTCCATCAGCAATTGATGTTGTGATTCGATCTTTGAAAAGGTTTGTTATAGGACTTAAAATAATTCCTGTGAATTCCCGAATTAAACGAGCTTGATCCAATTGTACATGAATATTGCTATTATGGAAAATAGGCGTATTATTAAATAAATGTTTTTCTGATTTATTACGGCACCTGAATTCAATTATGCGAAAGTCGTGAAGATGAAGCTTTGAATTAATTACATTCACAGCGAGCTCAGCATAAACAATCGTGTCATCTAATGAGCCAATCACTTTTCCATATCCCTCAATTGCCATTAGCTTTAGCAAAAAGTTATATTCAAACTATAAAGAAGAATATATTTTACACATTTATTATTTAATTATCAATTATCAATTTGTAGATATATGCATATCATATATCTTTTGGCATATTATAAACCGTCACCATATTAACGAAGGCAATTTTGTAACATGAACATATTATTAATCCGAAAAAGTAGTAAAAAAAATATGATTTTATTGATTTTTAATCCTGATTTAGAAGACGAGCTGAGTCAATCAAGTATGATCATTAATATCACACGATCAAACACTAAAGATTTCAAATTTTATTAAATAAGAACATATTTAAGTTTTTATGATAAAGGTTTTTAATCCTGGTCTTTACGAAGTTGGAATATTTAAGCACTTATAAGAAGCTGATTGAGCAAAACAAGTCTAAATAAGTTTTATGTATTTGAAGGTTTATATAACACACACATTTTTTAACACTTGCTTTGCATACCTGAAGTTTATTAATTTTTAAATAAAATTTGCTCAAGAACGATTTTCCCTCATATGTCATATAGGCATTGTTGTGTCTTTGTATTCCAGCAAGGTTGTAAACAATTCCGTTGGTGAGGTGAAGGCCAGCCTCGTAGGTGATGAAGAAAGGCTTCTTCAAAGTTAATTGCTTTATTTATAATTGCTAATATTATCGTTCAACTGAAATTAAACTCACAATAGAAATACTCTCTTTCATGTCTGGAAGCTCTAAGTGTTCTATGCCCAGCTTTTGAAGATGGGCAAGCACCATGGGCGTCACAACGTCGACTTCGGCATCGATATTGGTCCAGCCGACATCTTCCTTTTCAAAACTGCTCTTTGGCATGGCATCATCCCCTGCATCACGACGAACACTTTAAGAAGAAGTAAAGCTCTCGGTGGGGATATAGTTTTAGATTAAGGTGTAAATGAATGAATAAGAGTACTACTACCCCGAACCCAGCGTCTACAGTCTTCAATTAATTTTCCTAAAGATCTTTACGAATGAGCTTACATCCAAAACTACACCCATTTAACGTTCGAAACGAATTTATCATCCAAGATGGGTGAAATTTGCGAAATGTTTGAAAAACATTTTGAATAAATTTTCGCAAATATCAAAGACCGTAGAAGCTAGAAAAGTTTGCAATTTTCTTTCTCCAATGTGAAGATTGCGATGTCGTCTGCAAAGCCTACTATGCTGTAATTATGTGGTAGGGCAGGTCAGAGCACTCCATCGTAGATTATGTTTCATAGCAAGGACACAAGCACCGATCCTTGCTCGGCGTCCCCAGTAATGGGGTACTAGCGGTCGTCCAGCAGCCGTACATGAGTACTCGGTCCTTGAAGCATTTGGCAACGCGATTTATTAGATACTCGGAGATCTGCAGCCTGAGTACATAAAGCCAGCTTGTAAAGTTAAAGGCGTGTTTTACATCTAGCGGTCCTTCCGTGCCATGTTACATATGTACATATGTTCTTGATGAGCATCAATACCCAAGAATATTTGAACCTATAAGAACTAGAGACTGCAATTTTATCTGTAGGTCCTCCTAGTGCCCGCGCAGATCGAGTTTGTTTCTGATATCGATATTGAAATTCTGTTTTTTTGAGTGTTTGCAGCAGCTGCCACAAATTCCAAGAATTTCTATATACATGTACATACACATTCATTCTCGTCTGCTTCAAATTCTATCAAAAGCATTGCGATTGTATTGTTTTCTATGCGTACAGGCAATATAATATAATTTTTTTTATATTTGATAATTATATTTGTAAGAAATGTTGATAGTGGAATTGGGCTATTATAATATTATACATATTTTTAAACCAAGAAATTCATTAAATATTTAAGTTATACGATACCGATAAAAGGTGAAAAGTGCCTATTAAATTGATGTACATTTATAATTACCTGCTTAAATCCCGCTGAACTCTGCCGTTTGCAGTAAACACGAGGAATAATATTCCAATTAAGTATAATGCCATTTTAACTCTAGACACATACATAGTATCTAGATCACATATATAAATCTAAAGAAAATTTATGTTTGTGTATGCAAATAAATTTGTTTTCTTGTATTATCGAATTAGAGATCTATTGCTTAGGGTTTTTAACGTTAATATCGAATGATAAATCAGTCCTTATATCAGATTATGTTTAAATTCGACTTTAGTGTTCATATTTGTAAATAGATTATTTAATGAAAAATCCCATACGATGTATCATTGTTTCTCAATTCTAAACAGGTTCTAAAGAGCTCGAAACAGGAAAAATCCAATTTATATATATTCTGATATGTCATTATTATTGAGTAGAGTGTTGTGCACTACGACCTGGACCTAGACAGTACGTATAAAATAAAAAAAATAAACCCATTTAAGCAGTATGAAATTTGTACATTTTATTTTAGGTATAGGTATTCATACACATACATATTTGAGTACATATTTCGATAAAAAAAAAGAAGGAAAACGAATGCATATAGTATACACTTTTATTGTATGTATGTACATTCGAGTACTAACGTTCACTGTAAACACTTAATTGATTCGTTTGCATTCTATACACGAATTAAATGTACTCATAACTGAAGCTGTTACGTATTAATGCACAGTTGAACATATATAAGCACATACAAGTTACTACATATCTACCATAAACTCATAAATGAATTTAAGCTAACAAATTTACCCATGTCCATATAGTACTTTATAAACTATTTCATAATAGTAAAATTTTTAGTAAAATGAATAGCATTCGGCACAAAGTATATCATTTTAGCATAGGCATACCGCGCACAGAGGCCCTAGTATATTTAAGTTTAATTACTTGCTTCCTATTCAGTTATTACTGCGAAGCGTTTATAAGTTTCAGCGAGCCGAGATCTAAAGCCACATTTGACGCATTCGTGGGAGCGGTTGAAACGAAACTACGGCCGAGAGAATAAATAGTGAGAAAGCCTCGCCCAATTATTTATTGGAATCCAGCCTTGATCTTGCGGAGCTTTTGACTCGTGCTTTGTTAAGTAAAGCTTGCCTATTAATTTGTACATGTAAGCTTATAGATTTTGCAAAGAAGTTTGCATACCCTGTAAGACAAAAATGGGTAACATTAAGTTTTACCACTAATCAATGAATCAATCAATCAATCAATCAACTAATGGTGTATGCTAATAAAAAGACATCATATACATATTGTCCTTAATGTCCCAGAAACCTGCACAAAAATACAATTTTATATTAAGTATAAGAAATGTGAATTGGGATAAACACGCCAAGCAAATCTATTAAACATGCATGAGGCTCTAATTGGGAGCTCCCGACTAAATGATACCCTGAACCCTCTTTTACCAACACCATCCATAAAATTGGCTAATCTACTCCACTCATAGTCCTGCAGAAGAACATATAGACTCGTTTTGCGTGTGGTATAGAATATATATTTTAAATCTTAAGTCTCAAGCTTATAAAGTTTCCGACATGGCTAAATTGAATTTATAGGGCTCGATATGCCTCCTTCTGCCTGTTACATATACATATAAAAAAAATATAGACAGAAATTTGAAGAACGGAACGGAACAATATAAAAAGAAATCGGAACAGGAATCTCATTTTTTTTCATCTAAAACAAAATGTGATCGCAATTACGTTCTGTGGCTTTTGCACACACAGCGAACAATCCTTTAAATTGTCGAAACAAAGGTTTCCCAAATTTACAATAAATCCTGGCATCATGCGATTACTGCAACTGCGACATAGGTCAGCGTAAATCAATTTTATACCTGATGCCTTTACGACTCATATTTTTGACGCTATAATACTCACTATAAAAAAACTGACGATAGATTATATCTTGTAAGCCTGCCAGCACATTTAAAATTAGTACTAACCGATATACTATATAACAAGCCTTCACTTTTTCCGATCTCGTGTTTTATTATTTACTTGGTGCGGATTAAATAGTCGCTTGCTTGATTCAAGTTCAAGTCATACAGGCAGCCCTCTTGATGAGAATAACTTAAAACAATTTAACGAATTTATAGTGTTGTTTAGTTGGTGCCTTGTGAAATTGGGTCAATCTTCACATCGGGAAACTTAAATTCGGGAAATTTAAGCATATCGGTCTTTCCATCGCTGCCGTACTGCTTGGCAACACGCTCTAACTCGTTTTTCAATTCTCGCTCAATTTCAGGATTCGAGTCGACCATCTTGCCGCCCCTGAAAATAATAAATTATAAATATATGTAGATCCAATGCTCGTGTCTTCATTAGCTACTTACGCGCTCTTTTGCTTATATTCGCGAACTTTGTCAAGGAACAGCTGCTGGATGGGATCTGATGCCTTGTTCAGAGCTGGTGCAACTATGGCAATGTTGCGACGTGCCTCAGTGCGTAGAACACGGACGCCGGTTAAAATTGATTGCGACAGCATCTGTAATACGATAAAATAGCGTTAATCTTCCTCTGTGGTAGCAATTCGGTAACCTTAAAAGGTTATGTAATACATTTTGCATTTGCAGAGCTTATAGTTTCAAAATATGTATTAACAAGTTTGCATATGCCAAGTGGTTTATTATTATTATTTACTTATTTACTTTTTTACTTTTCAAATCATTTTTACTCTTTTTTTATTACCATATTTTCCTTTTCAAATGCCTCTGTACTGTATGTGGGGAAAATTGTCAACCGAATAACAGAGTGACAGTAAAATTTTAACATAAAAACTCCAAGGTGCAAAATTGGAATACTAAAATACATACATAAACAAAATACCTAAAAAAATACTGAAATATGTATAGATCGCCATTATATTAAGTAAGTTAACCGCAAATGTTATTAAATATAACAAATATGTACTCTAAATACTTCATATCGCAATGCAAAACAATTGAAGGTGTATTAAATTAAGATAGAAAAACTATAAACACAAGTAAAACTAAATATTTTATTTTTGTCAGCCCACATAAAGAACGTCCAAATAAGTCGTGGGTGGTGTTAATTTATCAAGATTTAATTTCCAGCGACCAAACTTACTTTTTTTACGTATTTTATTAAATATAATTAATTATTTTTAATTACCGATATTGTGGTGAGACGGATGTCCGCTGTCGTGCAGCAACGATATTACCTTACGATGTATTCCCAATAGTTTTCAACTATCGTAAACGCTTCGAGATAAGCAAAGGCGACCTCATAACTATCGATAACGAGGCATTATAAATATCGAAGTTACGTTTTGGCAGAGTATTGAATATATAAATGTTCTGTTGCATTTGTAAGGTGTTGTTTCGTTAGCGATAGTTAGGAGCTCGCATTTGCTCATCTCCAAGCGATGACGATATTTAAAAACTATCGTGAAGTCATTGGGAAGAAATATCGATAGCCTGTCAACATCGATAGATCATGTTTCTGATATCGCATATCGTTTGAAGCTCATTTTCCACGTCAAACGATTGCGAGCCGAAAAGAATAAGCGTTTTTATTTTATATTTGTGGAGTAAAGCTTAATACAATCGAGATGGTGAGCTTGTTACAGGAAATTGACACAGAGCATGAGGACATGGTTCACCATGCTTCGCTCGATTTCTACGGATTGCTGCTGGCCACCTGTTCGTCAGACGGCAGCGTCCGGATTTTTCACTCACGTAAAAACAACAAGGCGCTTGCTGAACTTAAAGGACACCAGGGACCAGTATGGCAAGTAGCATGGGCGCATCCTAAGTTTGGCAACATATTAGCATCCTGCTCTTATGATCGCAAAGTAATTATATGGAAATCGACTACACCCAGAGATTGGACTAAGATGTGAGTGTTATGTTTGTATGTATGTATTTATGCTAAGTACGCGCTCGTTATCTAGTAAAGCCCTGTTTCTGTATGTATGTTTCATCATTCATTTACCTTATACTTCCTTCTTTGCTTTGCCGCTTTTCAGATTCGAGTACAGCAATCATGATTCCTCAGTCAACTCAGTGGATTTTGCGCCGCCTGAATACGGTCTAGTTCTAGCGTGTGCCAGCTCAGATGGTTCAATTTCTGTGTTAACATGCAACACGGAGTACGGTGTTTGGGATGCAAAAAAGATACCCAATGCACATACAATTGGAGTGAATGCTATTTCCTGGTGTCCGTCACAGGCACCGGATCCGGCTTTTGATCAGCGTGTCACTTCGCGCAACGCAGCAGTAAAACGTTTGGTTAGCGGTGGCTGCGATAATCTCGTCAAGGTTTGGCGTGATGATAATGATCGATGGATTGAAGAACATCGTCTCGAAGCACATTCAGATTGGGTTCGTGATGTGGCATGGGCACCATCAATTGGGTTGCCACGGTTGCAGATAGCCTCGGCATCACAAGATCGTCATGTTATTATATGGAGCAGTAATGCTGATTTGTCACAGTGGACATCAAGTGTACTACACACGTTCGATGATGCAGTATGGAGTATTTCCTGGTCCACCACGGGCAACGTTCTGGCCGTAACTGGTGGTGATAACAATGTTTCCTTGTGGAAAGAAAACAGTGAGGGTCAATGGATACGCATTAATTATGAATCAGGCATTGCCATTCAATCGAAACAGCCGCATAATTTACACAACCCTCAACAGCAGCCCCAACAGCCATCAAATATACCAATGTCGTCGGACTCTGAACATAGCTCGAACTTATCAAATTCCAACTTGTCAAACTCACAGCTGTCAAACTAAAAATGTTAAATGGATCGTGGCTATGGGCCGCTTCAATATAAAAATTATGGTCAATATATCTTGATAATGCGAAACATATTTTAAATAGTGGAAATACAGTTTTTTTTCAAATGGTGAGCGTCACCTGACATTTCGTCGATTTCCAGCATTCTTCACTGCAATAATCGCGTAATGTGGTACGTTCTAAAATTAAGAAAATTAAAAACTTGTTTTTTACATTCTTAAAGCTTAGCGTCTGTTAAACAGTTTATTAAGGCGACTTTATATTTCATAACTTTCGCAACATTTTTAGAATGACAAAATATTTCACCTAATTATGGAGGGCCCTAAATCAATAAAAAAAATGTTGGTTTCATTAATCAAACGCGGTAACAATCAATTGAATTCTGATGCATAGTCTTATTGCCCACCAGTAAATGAACCTCAGCAGTCCAGCCCACTCTATCAACCACAAAGTTCTACTTCTGCCGGTTGAGGTAATTTCATTTTATTCATTAGGAAGGAACTTACGCATTTGTATAAATTGGAAACACGTGCCGCAATAAAGGGAACAATGCAAATTAACCATTAGATTTTGCGAAAAACGTGAAATACGTCTCAAATGATTTTCCATATAGATCCTTGAAAATGAATCCACCAAATCTCTGACCCCCATTTCCACCAAGGAGGAATTCATTTTTGCAAGTGTAGCACCCCTCAAATGAATTTGAACAAAGAACTTTGAAATTGTGTTTGAGCCAGATTGGATGGTACGCTGTAAAGTTTTATACAAATGTTATTCGCGAACAGCATTGCAATTGTATGTGTGTTTGAGCTGATTTTTTAATTGTTTTTCTTTTCAGTATCGATTAGTTGTTGGCTTGTCTGTTGAGTAGACGTCCCACTAATATATCATATAGCTCTATCGACTGTGTAATATAAATCCTTTCGAAATAAATCCTTTAAGACAATAATAGAGCACAAGTTCAGATGGTTATGGAATATTCGGTGTGCCGGTGTCTTTACTTTAATTGCCTATAGTCCCAAGGTGACATTTTAAGGGTTAAGACTGAAGCAATATTCTGATTGCCCTGGTAATTGAGTTTAAATAATTAAAATTAATCCAATCGAGTTTAGACCGGGTTTAATTTAAATTCCAATTATAAATCTATCAATCAATATAGCTTTTCAAGGCCTCAATAAATTGATTCAGAATAGAGACAGTCACATTGAATAAAACTTTTCATTTCTCAAAAAAATATTTCATCTACAAATCAAAAAGAATAAGAATTATAAAAATACACTTTGAGCAATTTAGATGAAATTGATTG